GACCAGCTGACACCCAGTTTTCGTATCGTGGGTAGCGCCAAGATCAACATGTTCCCCTGCAGTAGGACCAAGACCGGACCAAGGCTGGGGAGCTTTAAGTTCATCGATAGCGCCTCTTGTTCGTTAATCTCAGCCACTGATGTTTGAGGCTAACAGAGGCGTCAGCCCACTTCCGCTTTAGTCGAGGTATTTTTGGCCTAGACCAACCTCGCCCCAGCCTTGGGACCAAGACCCGATCGTGGCCGTCGGTCGGAGTTGGGACGCTGCTTAACCTTTCCCTCAGCCACACATGGACTAGCCAGATGACCATACGGGGTAGTCAAAGAGAGTCCAAGCTGGCCAGCGCATGGTCTGGATCAAACGGCCACGGTTTTCGTGGGATTGGAGGTCCAACTTGCTTTCCACTAAACCCATTTCCTCGCCTGGAGGTGCTGGATTGGGTAATCGGCGTTCGGCTCACTCCCCTTGTTCCCCCACAAGAACCCGATCAAGCTTCCCCAGCCCAGCCGACGAATATCTCATGACTCTCTGAAGATGGACAACGATTGCCAGAGCAAAACACAGTAGAAATGAATGGGTGACACGAGAGAGTGGTCAGTTTCGTTGTGCTTTACTGAAGTATCCTCCCTTTTCGGCAGCCAAGCGCTGACACGAGGTCAGCTTCAATATCTGCTCGAGTTATACTTGTAGTTAATCCGTCTGGGCAATGCATGGCAATGCATGGCAGCCCCGAGAGGTGCTTATTCCAAGCCACCACGAGGTGCACAAGAATCCGTTAATCCATGCTGTCTCTTTTTGGAGTACTATTGTCCGTAATGGTAACCGAGTCGGGTCGATGCGGGTCGACCTCGCTCTGGATCTGTGTGGTGCTATAGGGCAGCCCTGCCCCGATCCTCAAGGAACTCTTGCCTTTGATGAGCTGCATGAGCATAAAGTTCAGAGCACACTTGATGCCTTGTTGCTCGCCCCGCTTGATGATGTAGCCATTAATGTAGTCGATCTCTGGCTTCTTGCCATGGCGGACATCCTCCCGCATACTGCTCGAATTCTGCGCTGTCCGCCTTGTCACGCCCAGGAATAGCTGCTCAAGTCGCTTGGCAGAGAATCGGTGCTGCACATTGGGGATCCCCTCTAGCTCCGGGAGGCCTCGAATGACGAGAGATATCTCGGCAAGGAGAAGCCTTTGCACAGGTAGCAACTCCTCGTTATTGAGCAGTGCCCCATTGGGGACATCAAGGAGGGCGGTGAGGGGGTTCAAAATGCAATTGGATGACAGCTTTTCCAGCTGCAATTGCAATAGGTCCAGGTACGGAAATGCCGCGCATGCCAGGACTGGCGACCTAGTCAAGGTGCGTAGAAGGTAACGTGAAGAGAGTGTCGCAAAAAGTTCCTTGTCCGTGGGGTGATGTTTCTTCCGTTCGTCTTCGGACAACTCCCACAGATGCCGTACTGGCGTCTTTGGAGGAAGCGGAAAACGATCAGCATCTCGACATATCCCCAGAGCTATGGTACCGTAGCCGGCATGGACGACTGTGCAGGGCTGCGACATGTATGATCCGTGAGAAACAATTCCCAGCATATAGGTGGGACGTTCCTGCGGATCTGTAAAGACCTCCCGATTAAGCTCATCTATCTGCCCAAGCCCATTTTGCATGAAACAGATGGTTGTCTCCGCGTTGACACGGTGTTTGACAGAGCGGAGGGCAGCAACAGTGGCCGGCCCCTTGACAGCAACTATCAAAGTGTAGATGTAAAGCTCGCCGGATTGCATCATCTCGCCTTCCTCGACAGGATTGGTCTGTGGCTGATCCCAACGCTTGTCAGGAATGAAGTCCCATCGCGCCTTGCCGTCCTCCCCATAGCCGTTGAAGAGGTCAATATCGTACCCAGTTTGTTCATCGTTTGTCTCGTTTTGCTTGTTTATCAGGCTGATAGTACGACCACCTCTTTTGAAAACTTCGTATTGCTCTTGTCGGTGGATCATGAGGGTGATCGGAGGAGGATTGGGCAGGCATCTCAATGAATGGGCGACCAGGGTTCCGATACTCCCAAGACCGAGAATATGTACACGTCTGGTAAGAAGCTGCTCATGGTCCGGATTTGGCAATGCAGATTCCTCCAGTGGTTTGGACTCAAATATGGGAGTGTCTCCCGAGGGCTCGGGCGATGGCGGATCTCTCCACCAAGAACGAGTTTCTGTCATGGTTCCGAATTCGCGAGGCGGTTGTCTAAGACAGAAGACGTTCTGTGGCCACAAGTCTGAGCGCACGACCTTCGGCCATCTGCGCACTGCCCGAGAGAGGGGGCGAAGAAACAGTCGTTGCGACAGCTTGAGAATTGATATGGTGTTCACTTAAAGGAATGAGATCGAGTAGGCCTGCACGAAAGGCGAATTTATCTGCCGGAGTTCTGTCCTTGACAGGTCAAGCTGCCGTAACCATCCTGATAACCCACTGGAGAACGATTTGTCTATTCAGCAGAGAGATAAGGAGTAGTGACGAGTTACGATGGCGGAGGAATTGAGTTGATGGTGGCTGGCATTGAAGGCATCGCAGTTGGAGAAATCGCAGTCACTCGTGCGTGTTTGATGCGGGGGAAATTTCTGCCCCAAATTCACGCGTTGCGACTGCGAGGCGGATGGCCACAACATTTCTACACATTCACCTCATGAGCGCAAATTCTCCTTTCCCATCGCGATAAGATGGATACTAAGGCTGTAATAAGACTCGTAGACGAGTTGCAGGAGAACCTGGAGGATCTCGAAGACAATCTTGAACCAATCCTTAGCGGCGCCCTCTCTGCCACCACCAAAAAGCTCCCTTTGCTCGATCGCGCGAAACTTCATGTTCTTCTCGTCTACTCGATCGAGTCCTTAATTTTCTCCTATCTCAGACTCCACGGTGTCCAAGCAAAGGAACATGCTGTCTTCAAGGAGTTGACAAGAGTCAAACAATATTTTGAAAAGATCAAGCAGAGTGAGGCTGCACCGCAGAATTCTGGGCCAACTCTATCCCTTGACAAAGATGCCGCTGGAAGGTTCATTAAGCATGCTCTGGTATAGCACCGTATCCATTTGGAGTTCTCGACGATAAGCCTAACCAATGCAGGCCGGAAATGAGAAATTCGATCTACAACGCGCCGAGCGTGAGGCCCGCGAGAGAGTCCTTGCGAATAAGAAGCTGAAAGAACTCGAGTCTGCTACGAGGGCAAAGGCGGAGACAAAGGATGATGAGGACCGTACGGCACAAGCTGACCAATTCATCGCAGCCACGTTGAATGATGCCCCTTCTACGGATGATCTCGCCGACGGTGACTCTGATAATGACGGTGACACTGACGGCGACGACGGCAATCCACCCCTAGGGCAACAGTCAGAGGTGCAGGCGAAGAAGGGGAAAAAGCGGAAAACTAGATCTAAGAGCAAATCGCAGAGAGTAAAAAGAAAGAGAGAAACAGATGTTGAGGGTCTCGAGCAACAGGATCAAGCGCAACCGGCAGCGGGAACCAAGGCGTCTAAGAAGGCAGGGAAGAAATCAAAGCGAGCCAAGGATGCTGCTTTAGCTGCTGGCTGAACACCTCCGCTAGTGACAACAGCATTGTCGCTAAGAGACGGAGCTATCTACCGCAGATGGCATCTACATCCACTATGACAACCCACCTTGGTTCTTTGCACATTATCATCTTGGGCGACAGACTGTTCACGAGATTGCATGCGAAGTCTATGTTCCCAACTATGCATTGGCACTAGCGGGGAGAGACTTGGGGAAACCGGAATCTGAACCTCAGGTTCAGACTTCAGCTGGGATGGTTCCGGAGTATTGAGTCCATGCGTCAGCCTACTCGGGTTGCTGTTGAGATGGACAAGTATGTGGTGTCTGCTACGCAAAGGAATATGCGTTCAGGGATGAGTTCTGCACTCAGGCTATCACTGTCATGGGCAGAGGTGAGCTACACTGGATTTTTCTTTGGATTGTGAGATTGCTTACTGCCTGGTCAGGGTCAATCCGAGAGGTACAGTCTCACATCCTGTAGAGGCTGGTCTCCTTGCAACAGAATCGAGCAAGATTTCTCCAATCGCATGTCTCTTTGCTTGGCGTCGCCGTGACTTGACATACTGGCTCTACTCAGGGCTTGAATAGAAACATGTTCAAAAGTCCATACCAGCCTTCCCACTACCGATGCTTTGTCACACTGGTCTACCTTTTGTCACTCCAGACCGGCTGACATGTATTACTGATGCAAAACCTTCTCTCTGTCTATTTTCTTTGTCCTTCCTGTCTGTGTTGATTGGTCGAGTGCTCGAGCGTCTGCATGAGCACGGTCTAGGTTGCGGGCGCATGTGGCATCTGAAATAGCGGCAGCAGGGAGTTAAGGCTAATCTTGATCTTTAGTCGAGACATGGCCTCGGTGTCAAAAGCAACACTCCCTAGGTTCGGTGAGATGATTGAGCGGACAATCTGCCTCCACGCACCCTCTTTTCCTCATGAGCAAGCCTCGAGCCTCGAGCCTCGAACCTCGAACCTCGAACCTCGAACCTGGAGATGGTCCAGACCATCTAGACCTTCTTCCTCTGACTGGACGCTTGGACGCTTCTTCACCGTGCCCCCAAATCCACGGACCCCAGCGAGGCTCGAGGTCTATCTTCTGACTCGGACATCAGTCCTGGTCAACCCCATGTCCAAAATGCTAGGCTCGTACTCACCCAGTCAGATGATAGTATCGCAGCATTCGACACGACGTTTATCTAGTGGGAGACACAACCCCTTCACATGGCAAACTATATTACCGTGCAAGCACTGGGATTGGCCCGACGAGGCTGCCCGGATGATACGTCACGTCCCTACCGGGGAAAAGGTTGAGCCGGGATGGATGGATATACCATTTGTCCGCATGTTCTCATATATAGGACCGCCACCAGCCCTGGCATACGATTTATCTATCCCCTTGAATGACACCTCTAGGTTCTGGGCGATGCACACAGATTCTGTATGACATGCACGATGCTGAACCTCGTCCTTCGTCTCGTCGCCATCGCAGCCTGTGTCTTTGGGGTCGCGATATGTGCACGCATCAGTGGAGAGGTCTTGAGAGATGACCGAGGCGGCAGCACCATCATCACGACATATATCGACCCTGCGACAGGGGCAGGAGACATCGCAAGAGAAAACCCTCGAGTGACTGCGTTAGAGCAACAGATGCCGGGAGTCGTCGCCATCACCACTTCGCCTGCCTGGCCACATTCGACCGGAAAAGCAAAAGCCCATTCCACACCCGCTTCGTCGGCGTCTTCTCCAGAATCAAGCTTCCAACCAACTTCCTTTAACTGGGTACCATCGCACGCACAGTCTACGAAAGAGTCGGGCTCGCCTACCAGAGCAATCGCTTTTCCATTTTCATCTTCACATTCCCCATGGAAGATGGTTGGCGACTAGAGTGAACGAGTGTGTCCGTCTGCTTGAATGATATGTATGGTTTTTTTTGGAAACGAAATTCATGGACCGGGACAGGATTGGGGTATGCGATGGATGCAACCTAATAGACCTAACCTCTCCTTGCGTTCTCGAAGCTTGGAAAATATCCAACGAAGGAGATTACTGGGGGCATGTGCGGATCCACTTACTTGGTCATTTACTCGTTCGAGATAATATTTACTGCAACCCTTGTTCCGTGTTCGGTCAGTCAACCACTCGCCCGACCAAATTATGTGGGTGAGGACAAAACATGCCAGAAGAAAACCAAGATAAACTGGAAACCCCGACATGGATATATGCCATTGGGCGGCTTTACACCGGTCTAGTGGAAGGAAGCAGGAAAGCGAAGGAGCCATGTGTTGAGGATTCATTGATCGATCAGTCCTCTACCCGTACTTGTTGTGCACAGCCTCGTTGGCAACACATATCATATAGGTGATAGATAGGGGCAACAGGGGTAGATAGATACTTTATCTACTCACGCAGAGCCCAATCATTGATCCCTTTGTTCATGCTCCTGGGAATAGGTTTCTATCGCTACCAGCCAGGCCAGGTTGCCATCCCTCTGTCCCTCCGTCCCTCCCTCTCTCCTCGCATAGGTACCAACTTCATCCTGCAAAGAAACGTTATCTGCGCGCCTCGAAAAGACAGTCAGGTACAAGGCCGTACGTAGTGAACTCTCTGATCAAAAGTGTTACATTGATCAAAAATCTCAATCAAATCTCCATCCGCTCTTCAAAAGGGAAAAAAAAGATCCGCTTGCTAAAAAGCTCAACACCCGTATGGCAAAATATAAGGGGAATTATATACAACAGTGAAAACAGAAAGACCAAATTCTAAAAGACCCATTACTGCTTCTCAGCGGCCAAAAGAGAAAGTCGTGCGTAAACAGGATGATCCCACCCAGCTTGATAACTTGAAATAGAGAAAATCATAGTTCTTTTCGTTTGCAAAGAGGATGCGCCATGTTATCCAGAGACAACAAAAGCCCCGTTTGTATCGAGTTCAGTCATCATTGACAAAAACTGGCATCCATTCCTGCCCAGGGTACGCTGTAGCACTCATTGGAATCTCTTCTTCCGATTCATACCCCTCGGCCTTGGAGCCCGGCAATTCTGCAATTATTCCGGGGGTGGTCTTGTCTCTTGCACTAGAACGGCGTGCTTCCCGGGGCGATGTTGGATCTCGGGATCCCTCCAGAATTGACACGTTGCGTTCTAGGCCCTGGCTCGTGTTGGTGTTGATCTGCTCAGGGTGGCTGCTGGAGTCGACGCTGACGGGCGTGTCGCTCCTCGTTGTTGCACCTTCGATCCGTTCGCGAAGAAGCTGCTTCTTGCGTCGATCGTTTCCATCATCGTCGAGCCCAGGAACCGTGATTGCAAAGGGCCTTTCTTGGTCATCGTCTGGACGCGCGATGCCACCAACAGGACTGATCTTCTTGGAGCTGAATGTACCTAACATGTCGTTGACGCCGATATTTGGAGTGCCTCGTGGTTGGCCGGAGTCCAGGTCATCAGAGCCGGGGCGTCCAAGTCGTGGTGAGCGTGATCGTTTGTGGAGGTCAATGACATGCGTACGAGGGTCCTGTCGGATTGAAGGCGTAGGCTGTCCCAAACCAGCGGATGTAGGCCCGCCTGTGGTTGTTATCGTACTGGCTGGGTTTGTATTCGGGGGCGGCGTCGGCGCGAAGGACACCGGTCTCGAGTAGCCCTGTGCCGGGGCAGTAGCGGGCGCGTAATACTGACTACGGTTGCCGCCACTTGTGTCAATGCGAAGATCGGATGGTCGACTTTGATTCGGGTTCATGTATGGATACGTGTTGGATGGATACGGTCCCGCTGCTTGCTGTTGACCTGGTGGCAGTGACTGGAGAGGTTGTCCCGGGTATGGATAACTGCTGCGGTCTGAATGGTGTTGGTACGGAGTGGTCACATTTGGATACTGAGATGGTTGGGACTGCGTTTGGCTCGCTGGATATGCAGACTGAGAGTATTGTAGATGCCCAGGGTCTTGGGGAAAGTAACCTCCAGGCCCCATGGGATACCGGCCATAGGGGGTGTGCGCGGAATACGGCTCTGGAGATGTGACCCGGTGGTTCTGTGCCGAATATGGCTCGGGTGATATAACACGTTGAGTAGGAACGTGCTGTCCCTGTGTCTGTGAAGGAGTAGGTACTGTTGCAGCCCGTGTGTTGCTGCTGCTCTTGAAGAGGCCGCCTCCAAATCCTGAGAACCTCTTCTTCTTTCCCTCTGTTCCTCTCTCACTTGTCTCTGGGGTAGGGGCTCGTAAGACATCCTTAGATAGCCGTCTTGCAGAGTGAGACTGAATGCTGGGCGAGCCAAGTTGTCCAAGCTGGTCCTGACGACCGTAACTGCCACTTCTCTCTGATGACATACTGTCATTACGGTGCAGGAAGCTACCACGCTTCTCCTTCTGTACGATTTCTGCGCTGTCAAGTGCAGCGCCGACTCTCCCTTGTTTCTGGAGCTTCGAACGCGAGTGGGAGCCAACGCCGAAGAGCTTCCCAAGCATACTCTTCTTTCTCTCTGTCTGCGGACCCTGTGATGCTGGCTGTGAAGACACCGATTGTGCAGCAGGAGTAGGTAGTGGACCAATTGATTGACGATGTTGCTGAACTGACCGAACGTAGGGATAATTCACAGGTTCTCCGGACTTCAGATCATATTCCACATGAGCAACAGACCCAGACTTGTTCGAAGACTCATCCCGGTATCCCTGGCGATTCGGGCCTTCCATTGACATGTTTGAGCTGGTACCAGGATGAGGCTGCGGTGGAATCTGGCTAGGATATTGCTGAGATCTGCGCGCACTGGTTGGTGGCTGTCCGCTACCGGGTACTTGAGTGTTGCCCCGGCCGCTTGTGGGGGTAGAGACTTGGTTAGCTAATGAATATCTTTGCCCGTACGGACCTGGTATGCGATATTGTTCTTCCATGGGCGGCTGGTGTTGATGCATGGCGGCCATTTGATGCTGCTCTTTTCGCTGGCGCAAGCGATCAAGCTCTTCTTGGGGCCGCCTTGCACTAGGCAAGGGGTTCTCAATAGGATACGTTTGGGCACGATCCATCTGGGGCTGCCCTGGTACCATCGCACGTAATGCTGGGTCACTGCCGACATTTGGATCAGCGATGAAAGGCCTGGAATATGGTCGCGAATGTCTTTGCCCTGGGTCGTTTGCCTGATCCGAGGGCTCTTCAACACTGACTTGCGACATCTCCTTGCTAAAGCCTCCCGCACTGCTTCGACCTAGACTTATCGGGCTCATCGGCTGAGATGGAACCCTACTGAGATCTTGCTCGTGTATCTGCTCTGACTGATGGATGGCGCCAATACCTTCAATGCCGGCAAATGAGAAGGGCCGATGGTGGCCAAGCGGGTAGTTCTCGCGGTCTTGCTCATGCTGCGACGCGAACTTCTGGGTCGGTGGTTCAGCAGTAGAGTGTGGCCCTATAGTCGCAACAGCTGGCTTCAAATCCTGTACGTCGGAACGCTCTTGTGTTGATGGAGGAAGACCTGTTGCCATCGGAGGCTCTGTTTGGCCTTCCTTGGTGTCGAAGGATGGTCGAATGTTCGCCGCCACAGCCACAGCTGTGGGAGCGCGCTGTTCAGGCTGGGGTATCCGCTCTTCGTGCGCAGCAGGCTTTGGATGAGCTGGTAGGTCGTCTGCAGGTGATAGAGACACGCTCCTTCTGCCATGTTGACGTTCGGCACTAATGGTAGGACTGGGATCTGCACTGGATACGTCGGAGATGACAGACCGTCGTCGGTGCTGTGGAACTTGCAGGCTCCGGTCGCTGGAGTGGGCATCGGATGCTGACCCGTCGTGATGCTCCGTAAGAGATTTTGGAGCAGCGAGAGTATTTGGCGATAAACCACGAGAGTCAATAGGACTGACCTGATGTTGAGCAGCAGGGATTTCCCTCCGGCTATTGCTTCGTTCCACGGGTGACTCATCCGTAGGTCTGGTTAACTGGCTGATAGAACGGCTAGGCAAGCCATCATCTTCGTTATGCCCTTGCTCGCTATCCAGGGCTGAGACCGCCGGACTAGGAGCAAGTACAGGAACGACAGGAGTAGCAGAAGATACGCTGCCACTGGCAGATAATACTCTGACGTGCTCCAATCTTGCCCAGTTGATAGCCTGACTTTCATGAGCCGCGGAAGAAGCTGTTGTTTCTGGTTGTAGCATCTGGTCCAGATCACTGGTTCGTGACCTCTTGAGCTCGGGGTTTGAGAACCAATCAATGGGAGAGGCTGGCGTGATGTTCAATGGAATTTGCGGTGGACCATCAAGGGATGTGGAATCTCGTGGCTGGGAAGGGGAGGCAAGATCTTCTCGTTCGTCTGGATGAAGTCCAGTAGATCTTCGTCGCTCGACCAGTGTCCCCTAAAATCAAACGTCAATCAAGGGCTCGCTAAGGAAAGGCAGGCATATTGAAATCGTGGTTTCCATTCATTACTATTTGAAGGTGGCCAAAGGAAAACGCTGTGAAGATGTCCGGGCCAGGTTCTGGGATCCCTGAAAGCATATATTCCCACATAGCATTGACGCATTTCCTTCGTCGCAAAGAGATGATATTACAGGCGAGGCAAGGAAAGGGGGAAGATCAACGGACTACCTTTTCGCCAGAGCTCGCGTGTCGCATCTTCTCTTTTCCCTTAGCAAACAGGCCTTTAGCGGCGGTACCCGCCTTGCCACCGAATCGTCCAGCAGCTGCCATTAGCTTCTTCCCGTCCTCTTGCATGTGTCCAGCTGATTGTGTCAGCATTCGTCGGGGCGACGGTTTGTGTGCAGTAGGGCTCTCAGCCGTGTCTAATGATAGCCGCCCATTCGTAGCAAACAGCTCCAAATTTTCCGGCGTCTTCATCGACAACAACCAATTTCCCAACTGTTCATCTGGTGTGGCATAGTATTGCCTACTTTCATTGAATGCCTTGATACGTTCTGCCGGAGAACTGAGATTCATGATTGTGCGGAAAGTTGGTAGCCCATCAGGAGATTGTTGTGGTGACTGGGGCACCAGTGGTGAATGGGGTACCTCCGTAGTGGTCGCGGGAAACGGAGGACCATGCACTGGTTCGAAAGGCTGATCTGAAGACAGAGATATTTGCCTCGCTATCGGTTGATTGACTTCGACGCTTCTCTGAACGTTGTCAATTGAGCTAGGCACGAGTGGGGTGTGAGCTGTGATCGTGTCTGGAGAGCTTGTAGAAGGCGGGCTCATTTGTTTTGGTGTTGACGCAGACGGCGGTTGTGAGCTGCTTGTCTCCCAGGAGAACCGTTGTTGGAGGAATGGTTTACCCGCTGTTGGTAAGTTCTGTTCGACGGATGTCTCTGTTTGTGCGGTACCTGGCGTATCTATGTTAAGGCTCGGGGATGTAGCCGCTCCCAATGATGTAGCGGAAGGCTGTGGCGGCAGCTTCTTGGATTCAGTCAATGGTTGACCAGCTTTGGACAAATGTCCATCGTTGCTCGGGATGGTAGCCTGTGCTGATTGGGGGGTGATGACTTGCAGAGGAGCTAGTTTCTTAGACACAGCTTCTGCATCTATGTCATTTTTAGAGGGAGCTGTGTCAGGCAGGTTCCTTTGGACTGCCGTTTGCTCCTCCAGGTTTGACGATTTTGGAGTTAGACTTCTGACAATTTCCTGTTGTAGTCGCTCATTGTCACTCTCAGTGGGAGTCTCATCTGGCACTGAAACATTAGGGAGAGGTGGCCGAGGGCTCGAGATTTCAATCAAACGACTTGTGCGCAGCGGGGCTGGCATGTAGTCAACGTCCGAGCGAGAGTCTCCGGCCCCAGCAGACGTGTGAGTCGACGGGGTTGAGCTCGACGCGGATGAAGCCCGAACTAGGCTGGTTGCTGGTCCGGAATTTGTTCGTACCACCAGATCCTTTTCTTGCTGCTCAGCTATTTGTTCGTTGTCCTGGCTCTCCGGCGCTGGCGCCGGAAGAGAAGTGATTACCGCTTCCACAGCCTCCTCGCTGGATGAGCTGGATGCGTCCCATTCATTGTCATTTTCTTCTATCGACGATTCATCGGAATGTTGCACTTGTTCACTCAGGCGGTGACCAGCTAACGCGCCAGCTAAAGCACTCCCAGCTGATGCCGCTGCTGCGAAAGCTTTTTGTGTTACACCATCGCCACCTGAAGTGATATTTGTAGGTGCACGGGCAGTAGGTATACTCTCAGTGCTCTCGACCTGTCTCTGGGTAAATGGGGGTTGAGATGATAGAACATTCCTCTGGCTTTGAAAAGGTGTGTTTGTGTCAGGAGTCGCTGAACCTGTCGATGAGGCATATGATTGCCATCCTCCAGGGATTGAGGGACGAAAACTCTCTAGACGCGTCTGGGGTCCAGGGCGTCCTTGATCCTCACTTGACGGTGGGGGTTGGGTATTTGGGATGTCAGGGGTAGATCGGACTGGGCTTGATCCTGGCTTGTCTGTAGCATCGCGCACGTCGGTTGTGAGTGATGTTTTCGGGCTGGACGGAGGACTGACTCCGCCTGCAGAGGCCGCCTCTGGTTTGGGCTCCGTGGGGAGTGGTTTGTCCACCAAACCCAAACCACGAGCTGGTCCTTCTGAGACAGTTCGTTTGGTCTCATCGTCCACAAGTGAGCCAGATTGTGGATGCTGGTGTTCCTGAGGTCCAATTTCTTGAGGCTTCTTTGCAGGACTGTTATCTCGACTCGGAGGATTAACGTCTCGTCGAAAGCCCGAAAGAATAGGGGGTGACGAAGAAAGCGTTTCTTCCTGGATTGGCTGCACCTCTCCAGGCCTCAACGTAATGGTTGACGTCGGACGAGACTCTGATTGCGCCGGCTCTTCAGGAATGGCGGCCTGCACGGTCTGAATAACGGAGGAAGTCGGTATTGGATCAAGCTTGCGACTTATGATAGGACTAATGTCAGTCGTTGAGGCACTGTTTGAACGATCAACAGTTCCTGACGTAGAGGTGGGAGAAAAGGGCGGGTGATCCTCGCTCTGATCGAAGGCCTGCTGGACAACTGATCTGTACCCCAGGGTTGGCTGGTGCTGCAACCCTTGGTTTTTGGGTCGAATGCCATCGTCACCGGACACGGCTCCCTGTGGTAATACATCGCCAGAGGGCTTCGACGTCTCAGACTTGGGTTCTGACACCGACTTTCCCAGTGCTGCAAGGTCCACGTCAAATCCAGATGTTCTGTGGACGAGGGGCAGTCCGAAAGCTTCCTTCGCATCAGGTAAACGATGATCTGTCTCCCGAACACCATCGTTGATTGATACATTACTGGAGATGGTTGAGGCGGAAACTGGATCCGGACGATCAGAGTAGACAGAAGACGCAGTAGTATCCTGCCTCGATACCCCCACGGTTTCCTTCCCAGTCTCAATCTTAGTCTCCTTTGTTGTTTGGCTGTCATCGCTTGATAGCTTGAGTAAATTATCAAACCCATACTCGCTCTTACGCTCCGGGACGGTGTCCAAGGTTGGCTTCAGACGACGGGCAGAATCGTGATCATCCGTTATCAGCTGCATAGCGCCTGTGGTTTCCTTTGCATCTGAGGAAGTCGAGCGACCACCAACAGAACCTTCTCTGGCTTGGTTTGACACTGAATCGATGCTTGGACGGGATGACTCTTGCGATTTGCGAATTTTCTCCATCTCCTCAGGCATACGCTTATAGATATCGGATGGTCGGATGAATACTGGTGGGGGACGATCGTCGACTGCAGTGGTACTGCCAAGTCCTGGAGAGGAAGAAGGCACGGGAGACTCGCTCTGTTGTGAGAAATCTGGCTGAGGAGGCTGTTGGCTCAAGCTTACTTTGCGCGGAGGGAATTGTCTGTGGGATGCATTGGAAGAACGACTATCCGGCCTCATGGGACTTTCGCGACGCTGATACACGTCGCTAAGAGGAGACCGACTACCGAACCCAGGGGAACCTTGCTGGGGGAAGCCTCCTGGGGCTGAGAATGGCACATCCTCGTATGCCGGATGTTGACTCCCTCTCGAGCCTGGTCGGAAACCACCTGGAGGCATAGGAGGCTGTCCCTGGGTGTTGAGGCGAAGAGGACCATGCATCGCATAGTTTGAGGCAGACGGCTCATCGTCGTGTTGCGGCTCCGGAAAAGGCGAACGTTGGGTTGTGGGGTATGCCGATTCAAAGCCAACAGAAGAAGAGACATATCGTCTTTCATCGGCCCGATCAAACGAAGGCCTCTGGCCCGCTCGAGGAGGGGAGGGACTGGTAAAGCTTCGGTTGGCAGGAGGAATGCCAGGTTGAGGAGCCCAACCTGGATGTCGAGGATTAGGCGCAGACACGGGTTCTGGCTCATCATATTCTTCATCATCTCCCCAATCTGAGCCCTCATAATTAATCTGTCGGAGATCTTTCCATTTCTTCGAGATCGCTCTTCCCACGTTGGTCTTGTATTTCCCGGTACCATACGGATTGGAGGTCGCCATTTGAGGATGAGGATCCGTCTCGGTTGGTCTTGTTCAAAACGAGGAGGAAAGGAAGGTGGGTATCGTCAAGGTACGTTGTAACACATCTCGCAAGCAATTCAACCACAGCGTCTGGATCCGCTCTCCCAAAGGCTGCAGAAGATGTCGAGGTTGTAGCAGTATTATGAACGAAGGGATACTCGTCGCACGCGACAGGCGGAGACGATAGATTATTTGCGCGAAATTGGCTGGAGACTGGAGCAAATGGTCGACTGAAAAAGTCGGGTGCTCAGAGCATATCCGAAGAAGAGGATATAAAAGAGATATGAATGGAGTATTAGGCCAGCCGCGCAATGCTGGGAGAGATGGTGGGCAAGAACTTGCGTTGCTCTCCTCACTCTGCCCTATGAATGGACCACGAGGTTGTAGATTTGATTGGCAGAAGTGAACAAGGAGTGTTCAACCTTGCGTCACCCTGAGAACAGGCTGCGCCACACTTTTATACGAATCGATTGATGGATTGATAGATGCTAACCACACAATGAGGGTGTGTGTATCTTTCAGAGGTCATGGGATTTGGTTGTTGGGCTTGAAGCAGCAAATTGGACGCGTGTTGCAAGTTTCATGCAGTGCCGCATCATAATACATCATGTGCTCGTGAAATTGTTCTCCGCTTCCTCGCTTTGCGTGCAACACGATACCCACTTCAATAATAACGAACGTTGTTTGATCCGAACCTGTGGCTGAAGTAAGGCTGTTGTGGCGTTGGTTCGTCTAGCGGCAAAGACACCTGGACATTTCCGGCTGCGGTCTCTTGATGAGGACCGCGAGTTCAATCATCTCTCATTTCACTCTTCTTGTACATGCTCAGTTGAAGAATTTGCCTGGTCGCAATACCCTCAGGGCCCGTGTAAAACTATTTCTCCTTCTGCAACTTTCTCACCATTTTCATGTCATAGACAACGGACCTAGAATGAGATCACTGCCAGCCATCCATCCTCTCATAATCGCTGCACTGTTCAACTTGTGAACACTGGGTTCCGCGACATTCTCTTTCTTACATGTCATAACTCGATATCGCACATAGATTACCATGGTTTCCACGAGCATCCAAGACCGGACGAACGAGTTCCGCACAATCCTAGCGCAGGCACAGAAGCGGCAAACCGCCAACAAGGGTGGACCTCAACGACAGTCCCTCCTGAACGATGCGCAAAAAAAAGAAGCAAATGGAGCCGCCAATGGTCCATCAAGGGGCTCCAGGTCAGAATTTGCTCGCAATGCTGCCCAGATAGGGAGAGGAATCACCGCCACAATGGGAAAATTAGAGAGACTGGCGCAGCGTACGTTGGGAAAGCGGTGTTCGGTAGAGCGACCTGCTGACAAGAGACAGTGGCTAAGAGAAAGGCAATCTTCGATGATCGGCCTGTCGAAATCGCGGAGCTCACATATGTTATCAAGCAAGACCTGGCTGGTCTCAATGCACAGATATCCGCTCTGCAACAGCTCACTCAGTCACAGCACCCGACCGCTTCCCTGCCCAAATCGGCGGATCAGGAGGGGCAGCACAACAAAAACGTTGTGCTAATGTTACAAAACAAGGTCACGGATGTCGCCGCGAATTTCAAAGACGTCTTAGAAGTGCGCACCAAAAATATCCAGGCCTCGAGGTCGAGGACCGAGAACTTTGTGTCGTCAGTGTCGGCGAGATCGCAACCCCATCTGGATGACTCGAGGTCGCAGTCACCACTCTATCAGGGTTCAACGAGTCGGCAAAAATCTCCTCAGGCCTCGTCAAATGACCTTCTGACCCTTGAACCTTCGAATACTTCGACCTTGATGAGAAATACTCCTCAGTCCGACCACCAACTGTTATTAATGGAGGAGGCCCAGCCGACAAATACATATATTCAGGAGCGCGGGCAAGCCATCGAAGCCATTGAAAGGACGATAAACGAATTGGGTAGCATTTTCGGTCAACTTGCAACAATGGTGTCTGAGCAGGGCGAGATGTTACAACGAATAGATGCAAACACCGAGGATGTAGTCGACAACGTTCAGGGTGCACAGAGAGAGCTGCTGAAATATTGGAACCGGGTACAGGGCAATAGATGGTTGGTTGCTAAGATGTTCGGTGTTCTCATGGTGAGTTCGAAAATCCGCTTTGAGTGTCTTCAAGTCAATGCTAACGATATTTAGATATTCTTCCTACTTTGGGTGCTAATATCGGGTTGAATGAGTGGCAGCAATGCTATTTGTTGGCTGGTTTCCAAGCATATGCGGAGTTTCAGGACTAAATAATGGTAGCCTTGCCACAGGAACAGTGCGTGGTGATGAGCGATTGTGCATATATTTGGAAGTTTTACATCGTCCTATCTGAACCGCCAGATTCGACAGAGGACAATGCTTTTGGTCAACATCGAGAAGACTAAAATTCCATGGTACTCAAAGTAGGTCTGGAGATTCTGCCCGTAGTAACTTATGCAATAGCGCTGCATCAGTGAGACTGTAGACAGAAAAAAAAAAGAACGATATTAGTGAAAAGCAGTTTCAACTAGTGTTGATACTGGATGTCCTTGAATGTCGATGGGAAATGAAGTGCAACTGAAAATGGACAGCAGTTCGACATCCGCAAGGGTGGTTGTCATAAGGGCTGAAGCCAGCAAATGTATGTATTCATCTCAGTGTTGTCAGAAAAAGCGAATTGGTGGGCTTCGCGCTATTGTTTCAGTGATGGGTATCGCTCTCGTCCATGGTCAATCAACTTTTCCAAGTCCACTGCCGTTCGTAACTGGTATTTACAATGAGTCGTCGCCGTACTCTTTTCTCTCTGTTCCCTCTCTTTCCTCGAATGGAATCACCGGGAGTTGATGGAAAACTGGGTTCGTCGTGGGTGAATGAGAGGCGGATATCGTGATCGTGCCCATGCTGTCGATGTCATGTGAGGTGAATCTGTGCGAATGATGCTTCCGATGCCCATAAAGAGTCTGTCGAGCCATTTGGTTAGAGACCATCTTTACAGAGAACGGCGTCAATACACACCCGAACATAGAGCCTGAACCCAGCATATATTTCCCCAAGGTCCTCATTACACCAGCCTGACCTGCGCCGTATTGAAATATCGTCACGGTACCTGACAGCACAGTTAGTGTGAAACCGTAGGACTGGCGCGCTGATCGCGACGGACCGTAGATGAAGCCCATGATCCCTCCAACGGCTGCGAATCAGTCAGTCTTTCGGTCACTTCTCCTCTGTCTTGTTGTTGCCATTGTTTGACTAACTTCCGCCCATCAACATTCCCATTTTCACTGCGGGCGACATTAGCTTCCGTGCGAACAAGAGACAGTGGCGCGACACCACATACTTTTATCAATCCACGACGGCCCACGCCGCTGCGCAGAAGGAGGCATTGGAGGCATCTTGCCGTTTTTGTTTTCCTTGTGCTTTCAGTTCTTGCACGAAGCAGTGGCTACTCGACGAAGAGCAAATTGGAGAAGGTAAGGTGAGGGTGCAGGTGCAGTAGGTGTGACGATGAGAAGCCCCCATCTTTGCCAATCGGGCCTGGAAGAATTGCCGCCGACCACGGTTGAGGCACGTGATTTGACTTAGCCGTTGGTTTGGGGAGACTTTCCACAAGTTCCAAAGCGTCAATCTGAACTGCTAAAGAACCACGAGTCGCATCCTCGTGAACATCAAAAGAGACACTAAACAGACACCAGTCACCTACAAAAAACCACCTGATGGCAGCCGCATTCCTTTGACATACTGTCACGATTTTCCGATTTCAATTTCGATTCTTTCTTGAACTGCCGGAGCTCAATCGTCAGCCCAAGTTGTTCGGTCAGACCCCTCGCTATCCGGTCCTCTGCACGCGAGCAGCCATTTTCCATCCCGAACTCTGTCTAGATCCCCTGTACGTCCTCGACGCAGTTGACATGGTCCTCTCTTTGCAACGACTTGCCTGAACGTCGTGGCAGAGGCATGTTGGTTGACACTGTATCCCCCTCACAGATTTGATCATACTGCCGATCGTAAGAGATCCGACACATGAAGGCCAGGTCCAACGACGAATCCCTATTTCCTTCCGCTCCTGTCACTTTACCCTCTCATCTATCGGGGAAACGAAACCTCGCAAGAGTCTAGGACACCTACGCACACGCCTACGGCTTAACCCCTGTTCTCCTACCTCCCGATGACGACCGCAGTGGCATCGCCTCCAAGCTTTCCGAATATATCCAGGCTCAATTGGAATGGTCTAAGCGGCACAGGAGGAGGGTTTTCTGCAATGAGCACTGACGAAGTGTCTCGGATGTTTTTACCTCAACGCAAGACTGTACACAGGAGTAATTCGTCCTCGTCGCTCTCATCCACTAGTTCTTCTGGTTCAACGGTCACCCTCACCCAGAGTGATGGCTCATCAGAACCCGCTCATGGACCAAAGAAGAAAACAAGGGGAGGGTTCTGGCCTGTTTCCAAGTCGGAGTCGACCGCGAGTGTCTCCAATGCCCGGGCAAACGGGTCGCTTCAAACGGCTATCGGAAACTCCTTGGTAGGAAAGAGTCCGGTACAGCCAGCACTGCCGAATCAGAGTCCAACAACTCAAGTGAATGGGTCCAGAGTTGTAAATGGAGCGGTCACTGGCGAGCCAGCCGCGATTTTGGCACTGTTACCGATGAATGGCACGTTCGAGAGGAAACAGATCAATCTCCCATTCTATCCAGAAGTCCTTCGCATTGGCCGTCAGACAAATGCAAAGACTGTTCCAACTCCCGTGAACGGATATTTTGACTCCAAGGTGCTGTCGCGACAACATGCCGAAGTATGGGCAGATCGGAGTGGGAAGGTGTTCATCAGAGATGTGAAGTCGTCAAATGGCACCTTTGTCAACGGACAGCGACTCTCGCCGGAAAATCGAGAATCCGAGCCCCATGAACTTCGTCAACACGACACACTAGAATTGGGCATAGATATCGTGAGCGAGGATCAAAAGACCATTGTTCACCACAAGGTTTCAGCCAAGGTGGAATATGTAGGCTTGCCTGGAACGACCAACAACGTGCTCGATCTTACTTTTGGCGACCTGGATCCCTCTCATGGTGGAAGCCTATTGGCATCACCTGTAAGTTCACCAATGCTTCACAGTCGAAGCCGGCCTGGGGGACCGACAACGAACGGGCGGGCTTCGGCTCCATCAAGCGTCGCAGGCAGTCAGATGAGTTCAATTGCGCAGCAACGGATGAATATGTGGGGTGCCACGCCTCTGAATGTGGAACAGCTTGTCAAGACATTGGCCGTAAGTCAGCTTTTTTAAACCACCCAGTACACTAGAAACTAACAGTTCTTTACAGATAGAGATGCGAGCAGCAAGACAGCAGGCGGAGGAACTCGACCAGGCGGGTGCGTTTCTGAACTCATTGTTGACACCTGGGGCAGCAGCGCCCCGACCTCAGCCCACATCAAAGGAAGGGGTTCCTCAACGGCAGTCCAATGGACGTGCTAAGGCTCCCAAAATGGAGCATATGACGCGCTTCGCTGATCCCCCAGCACCACCGCCACAGCAACCGCTTCCGGAGAAGCCAGACTCTTCAAAAGCAAGCCCTGTTGCAACATCATTTACGAATCTCCTGAAGCGCGGAGAAACCGCTAAACCGCCCAGCAATGCATCAAATTCTCCCACAAATACTCAAAACAGTCAAATGATGTCTCTCATCGAGGCGCTGTCTATCGCCAAAAAGGAACTTGACTCTCAGGGCGCCCGCGTGAAGCAACTAGAAGATATGCTGAGGCAGGAACGGTCAGCCAGAGAGGATGCTGAAGAACGTGCTCGAAAGCTCGAACAACATGCAGCATCACGGCCGGTCTCGGTCGTTGAAGAAGAATCCGAAACTCCGACAGAATCTACTCACGACGCGAAGGGCATTGAAGAAGTGGGAAACGAGGCGAACGGCGAACTTGATGCGAGAACGATGAGCCTACAGCAGAACCTGGACCAAGTTCTTGGGGAGATGCAGAGACTAAAAGCAGACGTGGACCAATTCCAGCGTCGCGCAGAGACAGCAGAAGCCGATGCAACCAACGCCCGGAAAAGCCTCGCAGAGATGATTGATAAGATTCGAGCAGAAAACGAGAAAGCCGAATCATCCACAAGGAAGTCGCGTGAACATGAAACACGCACCCAGGGTGACGAGGACGCTGAGGCTACCAACGCGGAAGAAGAGCAAATCTCGACGTCCCTAATCCAGTCAGTCGCACAAGCAAATGGCCACGTTCGCACACCCAGATTACCTGAGCACCTTGAGCGGGCAGTGGCAACGGTTCTACGAGACAAAAGCAGTAGCTCAGATGCTATTGCTCAGTCAGCACCATACGTGTCCATGCTCGGGGTGGTCCTAATCGGAGTAGGACTAATGGCCTATCTCAACTCCTGGCAGAAGTCGGAAACATGACACGTCGATGCCAGGAGGCAGTAATTTTCATTTCGTTGGACATACTATCTCCTAAACTTCTTCAGTCGGGCGATCGGCGCCTGAAGCCTCACTCTTTCCTTTCCAGCACGGTACCGGGCGTGGCGTTACAAATGGACAAGATCAATCTCCAAGGGCGGCGATATTGTCAATATTCAGCTAGGGCAATTCACAGGCCCAATGCTGAAATTGGCACAGCAAGCACGGCGTCAAAGGTGTGTCAAAACAGAGCTTCGACATTTATCATGGTCGAGGCAAATAGCAACCAGCAACAGATTGTGGGCGGGGCGTTTGTCGTGGAATGCATGAGGCAAAAGACCTGGGCGGAATAGGCGCCGTGTACATATGTACGTCGTGTTAGGATTGTTGTCAGCCTTGTTGCTCTCAAAGTACTCGAGGCAAAGACAAGGTCTGAGCAGTCCAGTCCATCAGGCTAACATGAAATGATGATACGAGCTTCAAGAACAGATGTAGCAAGGTCTTTATTACTGGTCACCTTTTGACATAATCGGGCATCGTCTTGGTATTGAATCCGGTATAAACGCAGCGCCAGATGCTGGGATAATCTCCCCCTGACCAGGCTGAGTAACGGGGAAGTGACAGCAAATGCCGGGTGGAACTTGATAACTTTGTTGAGCCTCACTAACCCGACAGGCACTCCATTCCAGAGATAGGTACTCGTACACTGAACGAGATGCCCCTCGTGGGGAAACCGTTGAGGAATCCAGTCAAGCCACAGTTTTCTGCCCCTTTTCGGCGAACGAGATGTGGGTGGAGCAAGGCCAGTTCCTCCATTGAGCCGTCAGCATCTTCGGTCTCCGGCGATAGATCGCGTTTGTTTCTCGTATCCATCTTTCAGTCGTGCGGTTGGTGGCACCTGTGACGGGAGCGTTACGCCATGTCTTTTGGTCGTTCTGGTGGTTCTTCGGGTTCTGTCCGCCGTTTCCGTCTCGTCTCGAGAAGGTCGATGTCAAAATGACGTAGGAAAATACAAAGGATACACACACTCTCCGCAGTTCTATTCGGGGAAACGCATTGTCCCTGTCCCTGTCCCTGTCCTACTGGGGCCTCAACGCGAGGTAACTTCCGTTCCTCCATCGGAGGGTTGGCGAGTTGGTTGATATCAACCTGTGGTGGCCCCAACACGCAGAACGCCCAATATGACGATCCTCTGCGCTCAAGTGGCCGTTGCAATTCCTATGCTTCGTGTCCCTCTGGTGTGCATGTGTGTGAACCAACAAAGCCAATACCATGAAACCTGTGACGCTGCGTTATTCAATACTCCGCAAATGGCAGAGGCATCTCAGAGGTGCTGCCTCCAGTCTCCACAAGGCCGAATTGCGGACTGATCAGATCTCTGGGAGGTATTGGCAGAGGCGCTCGTTTGCTACGCCAGTCGAGGTCACCAAGGATGCAAACAAAGAAGACTCGAGCGATCCCAGGGAAAAGGTGGTGATCTTGGGTAGTGGTTGGGCAGGTACTGTACCCGTCCCGCGTCCAAGTATGTTCCGAGCAGAGCGCTGACCTCGTACAAACAGGTTATGTCCTAGGTCGCCAGCTGGACAAGAGAAAATATCGCGTTGTCATCGTCTCGCCTCGCTCATACTTTGTCTTTACTCCTCTCCTCAACGACACCACCGTGGGCACCCTCGAATTCCGAAACGTGCTCGAGTCCGTGAGAAAGAAAAACAGTGGCTTGGAGTACATTCAAGGCTGGGCAGACGATGTCAACTTTGCGGACAGAACCGTTACCATTGAACCCTCAGTCCTGGATCCAGATGTAGGCCACGCGATGACTGGGCCGAGAAAACCGAATGAACAGCAGACGGCCAGTGGGTACGCTGTGAAAGGCGTTTTCCCTCACGGCCCGTGGCAAAAGGAGGTACAGATGGGCGGGACCGGCTCGCATGAAGTTCCTACGTTTCCCATCCACTACGACAAATTGATTATTGCTGTGGGCACCTATAGCCAGACGTTCGGCACCAAGGGCGTGAGAGAAAATGCATGGTTTCTGAAGGACGTGCGAGATGCAGTTGCCATACGTCGACGGATCCTGGAGTTATTCGAACTCGCACGGTTACCCATCATCCCCGAAGAAACAAAGAAGCACCTCTTGCACTTTGCCGTCGTCGGTGGTGGTCCGACGGGGATGGAATTCGCCGCCTGTCTGTCGGACCTGCTGAGAGACGACCTCTCCAAAATCCACCCTGATCTCATGAGATACGTTCGCATCAGTCTCTACGACGTCGCCCCCAAGGTTCTCCCCATGTTCGACGCCTCACTCGCCGACTACGCGGTGAAACAGTATAGACGCCAGAACATTGAGATCAAAACCTCCCACCATGTCGAAGAACTCCGAAAGGGGTTCCCTAACGACGAAAAAGCTCGCCAGGATCAAGCCAGCCAAGTCAAAGGACGAGTCTACACGATCAACACGCAAGAAGAAGGCGATGTCGGTATTGGCATGTGTGTGTGGTCCACCGGAAACATGAACAACCCGTTTGTGATGAAGGCACTCAATCATGTGCGCCGATTCCCGACAGAATCGGCACAAATCACCCAGGGAGAATTGACGGATCCGATGCAACGACAATGGATCATCCAGCGCGATGCCAGAACCGGTGTCATCTTGGTAGATGACCACTTTCGGTTGCACCTGACCACAGCGTGCGCCGAGGGCATGAAGGAAGATGAAAAGCCCAAGGCGTACATGAAGAATGTGTTCGCGCTGGGGGACACGAGCAAATTGATGTCTGGTGCCCTGCCAGCCACTGCGCAAGTCGCCAATCAGCAGGCCCTCTGGCTTGGGAAGACGCTGAACAAGCACCCTGCGCCCGAGGAGTTTCGGAAGCAGAAGGGATTTACTTTCAGGAATTTAGGCGTTTTGACGTATCTCGGAGGAGCCAAAGCCATTCTTCAGGGTGGCAACGGAAATGGCAACGGTGGTGGTGCCGCGAAGGGGATCAAAGGGCTGGCCGCCTACCTTATTTGGAGAGGAGCATATCTCACGATGACGCTGAGTTGGAGGAACAAGTTCCTTGTCGTGGTGCAATGGGCGGCTGTCAAGGTGTTTGGGAGGGATATCAGTCGGTTCTAGGGGGGCTACCAATCTGGGAAGATGATAGGTCTGGAAGGGCGGGTTTCTTGAATCCCGCAAGACTGGTTTTATGGCTGGTCTCTTGCCGGCATTGGATGGGCAGGCGTTTCTGGAGATAGACAGGGACTTGGACAGATACTGCGAGGTGATACCAGACATGCGAGTATCTGCTTTGATAATAACGTCGAGGACAATTCAAAAGCGATGGATATGTCGGGGTTAAAGGCACAGTATCATCTTCGATACAGACACGGCAACCGTTGTTCCCCGCTCGAAACTGGCTTACCGGGTTGGATTATGGCTCATGCATCTTTCGTCCGACCAGGCCGACTAACTATCAAGCGAGCTGAACAAGGGACAACCTCGCTTCCTCGCTATGTCATTCGAGGCGGCAAGGGGGCGGTCTTTTGCTTTGGTGTTGCATTGCGGCGTATTCGGGGGCCGCGGCCTTTTAAAGCGGAGTAGATCGTGGATTTAGCAGGCAAGCTATGCAGCTACGGATGTAGGCATGTAGATCGACCGTTTACATAAGAGCCTTATTTGCGGGATGAATGGATGGATACATCTGTACATGTATAAAAGGAGTGAACACTCATGATGCTGTAGGGTCGACGTTCCTCAGTCTTGTCGTCGCCTTCAACAACACTGATCAAAAAACTGGAGAAACCACGCCCACACCTACATCCGCAGATCAACGCTCAACGCTCAAGGAAACAAAGACAATGGCCTCTGCCGACTCCGTCTCCGCCGACGTCGCTCACACCCTAGCCTACGCCAACCTCCTCGACGTCTTCAGCAACCGGAACCGCGAGTCGCGCCGCCGTGCCATCCAAGAAACATACCACGCAGACGTGACCTTCTACGAGCCGGACAGTGTCACCACGGGCCACGACGGCGTCGACAGCAAGTGCGAGGAACTGCTCAGCGCGCGCAAGGGTTGGGGGTTCGTGCCCGTGGGTAACGTGCAGCGCAACCACGGCATGGTCTATCTTGCATGGGGGTTTGGGCCGCGAGACACGGCGACCGGCGAGGTCGAGGCCAAGGTCAAGGGGGCGGATGTGCTGATGGTGGAGGAGGGCAAGATCCGCAAGTTCTGGGTCATTATAGAGGGGGTGACGGATTCAAAGTCTTCTTGATCACTTGCCACAATATAATATCTAATGCATGCCGGGATTTGTTGTGTTCAGCCAAACAAGGAAAACAGAAACACTGAGCGGCGGCGGAGGGGAGTGCGGCTTGGCATATTTGCCCTTCCTTCTTCCTTCCTACGTCCTGTGTCTTCCCCCTGCGTTTTGGTATAAAACACCTATTTATTATCACCTGCTGAAATAGCGAATTCGAACCCCTTCTGCGATGCTACTGTCGCCGACAACACCTTTGCAACCACCCTCAAGTCCAACAACCAGAACCTTTGCGATGTCGGGGCGAACTTTCCCACAGATGGAGCTTTACAAGATGCCAGAGGCAAATCGGATGACTGAGAACACCACCCACGGGCCCTAGATATCCTGGATTGCTGAACCCCACGGGTTCCCCAGTGCCCGGAGCCTCCCATGCCACCCTTCGTTATTGGAAAAACGTGGGGACCATCACTTTGTTCTGACACTGTAACAGACGACCGGGATGAACGTCCAACGCTCAGGCTGGTCGCTTATCTGAGCCACCTCATCTTTTCAGATCTGCAATAATGGCCGGATAAAACACAGGAAGATCGGGTTCAAGCACCAAGAATTTCTCGAGGTCGAGGGAACCAGCGCAGTGCCATTTCTTGCGAAACGCAAGCCGAGACCCTACCTCAGTGTGTGGGACTGAGGCTGAAAGCTCTACTCTACTAAGAATCAAGAAAAGGCAGAACACAGCAAAGGAAGGGAAGATACCAACAACACCAAGACAGCTTAAGCACACCCTTCCCTTCCCGAGGTAAGCAGCACTTTTTCATTCTGTGATATGGATATCTTTCTGCCACACCATCAGCCACAGACAGAGGTCGCGGTTGTTATGTAACGATGATATACTTGCTCGTACTCGGTATATATATGGATTGCTCGCATACCTGAATGCATTATCACCGTCTGGGTAGTATGGTACACGCGATCTCGAGACCCAAGTCATCACTCAAACCAGAATCCGAGAAACAGGAGACCATATCCTCAGGCCTGGTGTCCAAGTCCAATGGACCTCGGATAGTTCTAGTTCTTGTCCACGCTCATCAAGATGAACATTGTCGCGATGGTGGAGACTGGAGAGACCCTCTCTCGCTCTCTCCGTCCATTTTCGTGAAACACGAAGACCTTGGGTTATATTATTAATGCGTTCCTGGGCATGAGAGTCAACGGAGTTGTTGCTTGCAGGTGGGTTATGCATCGGTCTTGGTCACAATTATACAAAGTACCCCACAATTCCCCCGAGGATTTGGGTAAAATGCCCACAGAAGAGGAATAGGAAACTACAACTTCCAAGCCCATGCGCGCGCGCCTGTAGCTTCAACCAAAATGTGTAACCTCGTAATTTTGTATGGGATGCCAGATTTACGACTCGTTCGCCTCGGAAGGACCCTCCAACAGAGGACTACGCATATTCAGCGCTTGAGTAGTATATATAAAGATAATAGTTCTCTTAATTCATCTATATCTGCCTTGCTGTATCTATGCCTGCTGATAAATCTCCACCAAACCTATAAATCCCCGTGCCATAAACTGTCATTCGAGAACGTTATTTTCTCTATATAAAAAAATGGCAGCGAGCAAAGTCGGATCCTTGGAAGGCAAAACTGCCTTGGTTACCGGAGGTTCTAGAGGTATTGGTGCTGCGGTCGCCGTCCAACTAGCACAAAGAGGGGCTTCGAAAATCGCAATCACATATGCCGGAAACACCAAAGCCGCCGACAGCACACTTGAGGAGTTGAAGAAGTTGGGTGTCCAGAAGGCAATCGCAATCCAGGCCGACCTGCTGGATCCGCGGTTGGGAGCAAACTTGATCCCCCAAGTCCTCAGTGGGTTGGATACCAAGACCATCGACATCACTGTGTGCAATGCAGCTCTCAATACCCCTGATCTCGTCGTCCCCTTCGCCAACATAACCCTCGAGAAGTTTAACAAGGTCTTCCAAGGAAATACCTTCTCCGCCATCAGCATCATCGCTGCAGTCCTACCACATCTGCCCGTAAAAGGCGGCCGGGTCGTCACCATCTCAAGTATCATGTCCAAGTTGGCGAATGACGACGTCTCGATCGCCTATGGTGCAAGCAAGGCTGCATTGGACAGTATTACTCGATCTCTAGCAGCAAGCTTTGCAGCAACAAAACATGCCACGTTCAACTCGGTCAGCGTCGGGTCGACAGCAACTGATCCTCTGAAGGCTGTCATGAAAGTGCTTCCATCAGCGATCGAAGAATCCGTGGCGCCACATACGATTGAGAAGAGACCTGGTGAACCCGAGGAGGTCGCGTCGGTTGTAGGATTTCTGGCCAGCGACGAGGCGCGGTGGGTCAACGGAGCCCAGATCCCAGCTCATGGCGGCAACAGGTATATGCTCGCTCTACAAGGTTGAAGTGAATACATGATGTTTTCGGCCCCAACTGGCAACTTTTGATAGAAATCAAAAGACGGATAGTAGAGTCTGTACGTTACTTCTCTGCTTTTGGTTGAGGATCATAATCATTCTCGAGGCGGTACACGACACCCAAGATCCTCCCAATGTATTGTTCGGTCAAAATTTCACAATATATCTGTGACTCTGAACATGCTGCAAGTGAACCAGGGGTGACGAAGGCTGCGTTATGCTTATTTGAATAAGCCCACAGAAGTTGTGAAGGTATTACCGCTTGACCTCTACTCCGGTAGAGGGTTACAGCTCTCGATGCGATCTACTTCAATCAATGCCGCCTTGTGATGGAGAGAAAATGCACCAAGTCTCTGTGCATCTAGTATTAACGCTGAGGACGCTGGAGTTATGACTGACCTGCCGGCACTGGAAAGGATGGTCTTTGTGGAAGGATGATTGAAGATGCGGGTCAGTCATTTCCTCCATGCGAAATTCAAAGTGGGGGCCGGAGGAGTGTTTAACCGGAATGCAGTGCCATGTGAAAAAGCAAAGCACGACATTCGGTTCCTGGATGCTGGACCAGCAATACCTGAGGTCTGGGTGGTAGATCGTGCAAGATCGTGGCAAACCTAGGGACCCATAGGTAAGGACGAGCCTCCATTCTCAGTTCCCAAGCACCTCAAAACACCATACCTGGAGATTCTTGTGGCACACCGCCGTCAAATAATAGGTGATAAGCCTTCGGGACCTGTCAGCGCCAGCACCCACAGCCTCTTATCACTAAGTTTTTGCGAGGTGGTTGGGACACTGGTATTCAACATCCGCGGATTTTGGCTGGAGGAACGGAGGAAGCTTCTATCTTTGGAAGTTTCCCCTGAGACACGCTAGTCTCCAAGTGGCATCCCGGTCGTCAACATATTATGAGTTTTTTTTGTTCCAGAAAATTTTAGGTTTCCAGACCGCTATGGGCCATGATAACAAAGTGACAGTACTACTACCAGTCCATGCACCACGTTGCTACATCGGTTGATAGATGTGATTGTATTTAACCCCATCGTCCATTCTTTTACATCGGTCTCTCTCCTGTCACCTGCATATCCTCAAATCATTTGATTCCTTGACTTGAATCTCCCTGGGCCCCAAATACCTGCCAGTCCTCCACACAGTCAGTACATACACAACTGCACCTACCGACGAATTTCTTCCCAACGAGACCTTACCGATTCTCTTTCTCAACCAGCACAATGTCTGCCATCTTTGCTTTCGCCAAAGCAACCGTCCCCACCGTTGCCACGGCCATCGCTCCTTTTGCGGCCGTCTACTACTGGCCCAAGAAGTCGGAAGTCTTCTACTATACACCCAAGAACTCGACGACTCCTCTCTTCAGTCTACCGCGACCTAATATCGCTGTTGGAGCCCCGAACTCTGTCCTCTAAAAGTCTATCGAACACAATACAGCAAACTTCCTACCACCCATTCGTCTCACTACGAGATTGAGCATATGGGCACATAATAGACGAATACATTTTTGGGTTGGCGTTCCAATTTTCAGCGAGGATCGTTACATTCGCAGCGCAGCACATCACAGATACCCATATAGATCGCTGCTATTACGGAATAGACATTTAGAGGTTACTTCAAAAGCATGAACTGGTTCCACCATCTCTCCCTGATCAGCGCAGGGAAGGGTGTTTTGAGCGTTGGTTGAGCATCTGAGTTGATATGGCATTTCGAGCGATTCTACACCTAATCCCACAATCTGAAACCTCTGATTTTACAGAAAATAATTCTTTCTTCGAATAGCTGTTTGGTCAAGTTCTCTCACAAAACTAGCGGTGTCCACGCCCAACGGTGATGGTGCTACTGCCCAGAGGGATCCAGAAGCATATCGAACGACATTCTACCCAGAGTAGATACCTGAGCGGTGACGAGAACGAACAAGCACACAGACAAGTGACAACTCTGTTTGATCTTCGATCTGTCCTCCCTACCACTGGCTCGGGATTCTTGGCTAAGATCCAAGATCTGCTCACCCGAGCTCTGTTTGTTGTGGTAGCGTGGTATGTTGTCTGCTGCATTCCTCGCCACTACTCTGCATCTGTTTGCGGCTGCATGACAACCCGAGCACGGACTTCTTTCTCCATTCATGATTCCATGAGCTGCCCATGTCGGCATGGAATCCAACGCGTCCAGCTTCACGTGCTCCTGCTCTTCCAACCTAGGGTCGTATGAGGGGTGTTGTCGACGACATCTTGATTGGACGAGGTCTGGGGATTTTCGAGTCATTCTATACCTCTTCCACTTACATATGTGACTAAAATTTCGTGTACCATCCATCTCTTCCGACTGCACTTGATACCGAGATCATCGAGGGGAGAACCACGATGACTGGTCTGACGATCACCTTGACGTATGGCACGGGCGGGGTCAAGAGGATGCGCCAGCGATATAGCCCGGAAGTTGGGGTGAGAGCAGTGACATTGGGGATTCTGAGAGGTTATTGTCGCATAAGTCGTCTTTAGTGGTTGCACAAACACACGTGCGGTAGAGGACATTCATGATTATGCAGATGCGGGATGCGATCATCCGTGGATAGGTGCAGTCTGATTAATGGGGGACGGGATCTTGATCCACGTTCAATAGTCTGGACTCTGGAACAGAGGTGCCGGACGTGGAGAAAGAGTCTGAATCCAGCTGAGCATTGGGAGCTTCAAGGACCAAGATAGCAAGAGAGAGATCCTGGTACTCCGTATCTAGTTATTACATGGTGGTGGAGCATATTATTACGGGTACCGTGTAGGTAGCTACCTCGTACGGGGTATTTATTCACCAAACAGCCCCCCGTGGCTGATGGCGACCTTCCCTGGACGCTCGGGGAAACCTCGCCAAACCTCATCGTCATCTCGCAGGAAGATTTCGCTTTCACAGCGACTGGCCACCTTCGTGTTCACATCCAGGTCTCACCAAGATGCTTCCACAACGTCCATCTCACCGTCCGATCATCATGCTACGCGACATTCCGATGCGGTGATAATCTCGCACCAAACCCCATGACAGCCCTTTCAACCTCCCACTCCGACGTCGGTCATCGTCGCCATGAGCTCCTTACTCAACCCCATTCACAGCGCGAAGCAGAAATGCCGCCCAAAGCACCAAGTTCTTGTCCTGAAATGTTATCCCAAATACCAGAAGAATGTCCAGGAGGTCAAGCCCATGTCCTCCGAACTCAGCTATCTTCTCTACTATGCATCCACCCGGCGGAACAAGCTGCAGAAGGTCGGCGCATTTCTGGAGAAGAAGAACGCTGGTGATGTCTGGAAAGGAAGGCTCGGGTGCGCACCACAATAACTCTGCAACGATCATTGCTAATTGAACTCTAGCAATGTCCAGGTCACCCTCCAGATCCTCGCTGCAATCATCGAGAAAGCACCCCGTGACCTGTCTCTCTACTCCAAATCCGTCCTCACCATACTCGATTCTGTCCTCCGTTCCAAGGACGTGAACATGGTGGAAGACTCTATTCCTACATTCGAGGCCTTCTGCAAATACGTTGAGGTTGCCTCTCTTACTGCCGACCAGCAGCGTGCTCAGCAGTACATCTCCCTCGTCCAGCACTACTCTGGATTTGCCTTGAAAACAAAACCGACGGATAAGAAACAAAACGACCCCATCCCACTCTCTCTTAGATGGCGGAAAATTGGTCTTCGGGCCATTCGGGCTGTCGTAGCCTCCGATGTTCTGTCTGTGGATTCCAGCCGACAACTCAACCTGGTCATGCCGGTGATTCTGGAGAACATGTCGCTGGAAGAAGAGAATATCCTCTCAACATTACAGCAGCGGGCAAAAACAAGCGAGAGGATGGACGACGAATCCGCCAGGAGGAGACGCATGAGTATCGCGACTGTCACAACCGTCGACACTATCGATGGCGATCCTGCTGCTGCGGTCGAGACCACCGCCGGTGCGGACAAGGTTGCCGAAGAGGAGGTGAGAGCTTTAGCATTAAGGTGCCTGAAACAAATATTCTCTGTTGGCATCGGAAGTACAAGGGGTCAAACTAGGTTGGCAACAGCTTTGACTCTAAAATTCATTGCTTCGAAGAATCCGCCCAAGGTTACGCCGGAAACATCAAGGACTGGCAACTGGGCGACATCTCTGTTCGAAGCCATTGCGCGGTGGACACCCGTACAGGACCGTTTTATCATTGTTGTTACCGCCATGGAAACACTGGTCAGAAGTCCCATGGCGGAAGGAGTTCTGGAAAAACAGCTAGTCCTCACCACCATGATCGATTGGCTTCTCAGTTCGCCCGTCAATCTCATTGGATTGAGCGTCATGGATGTTCTACTTGGCTTCATCCAGCACATGCTAGTCCTCCTCCAACTCGGGGGACCAAATGCTCGCATCACGCAGCCACATCGAGAGGATACTCTCGGGTTCTATCGAGTAACCAAGGAGGCATTCGATCCAGCTTCGGTCTTGACAGAGAACAAGATGTCCCGGACGTTGTCCAAAGAGCTGACAGCATCACCCGTCCGGCAAGAATTGCTTGAGAGGCTACAGAAATGTATAGCCTCTCTTTCCAACCACATCTACTACACCGACCAGATCAGCGACATGCTCACAGCAATTCTAGCGCGGCTCAAACCATCACCACAGTCCGAAGTCCCCACTTCGGCAGCTGCTATTAATGACCCAGCTGCCGCCACGAAAGCAATTGCAGAGTCTGCAAACATACAAGAAGACACCTCCACCTCCACCTTCTTCTCATTTGCAACTGCACGAGTCACTGCCTGCCGAGTCATCAGAGAAATCCTGGTTCGCGCTAATAGCAGACGAAGCATCGGAGGAGCCCCGATTGAAGCACGTGCACGGGTCGGGGTGCAAGTGTGGGAGGGCACGCAGTGGCTCCTCAAAGACGAAGATCATGAAGTGAGGTTTGCGTATGTGGACGCGCTGTTGGCGTGGCTGAAGCTTGAGACCAACAAGAGTGACATGCTTCTACCCCGAGATGGCAATCGAAAGCAGGCACAGTCCAAGAAACTTCAGGGCGAGAACGGTGTGGCGAAACGGGCCGTCTCCAACGCATCCCGCAAAGAAAGCAAACCTACAAGATCCAATTTTCTCGCTCTACTCCATCTCGCTGTCTATGACAGCATTCTTGACGATGTCGAGAATGAAATCAATCTCCTTCTCCTCTACCTTCTCCTAACCAAATTGGTCGAACGTCTTGGTGTCAATGCGGTCCGCAGCGGGTTGCCAATGATACTCAGACTTCAGGAAACAGCCCTTAATGGAGAGGTTGTCTCCACCTCGGGAAGAGTCAATGTCGGGAGTTTTGTGCATGGCTACCTGTGGACAATCGCGGAAAGTTTCGATTTTGAGACGAGTCCAACAGGTCATGAGATCAATGCAGAGATTTCTCGGAGAAAACGTTTTGGGATCTGGCTCGAGAGGATCAAATTCCCAGCCTGGTCCATCGAAGACATCAAACAACTTCGGAGGGAGACTGAAAAAACCCCAAGCTATAATGAAGAAGCCGTGGAAACCATCAAGCCGTTCTTGTCAGTCTCAAATATTGTGGAGGAGATTGCGAGTGCATATGACAACGCTTTGTTGACGCCCCCGACTTCGGCTCCATCGTCACCCGGGAGGGTCTTCTCTGTCCCGACCCTCGGATTTGGCTACGGTTACGGAGCCGCTCCCCCGCCAAAAGCCTCGAGGGAGGATCAACTCCCCCAGAAAGTTAAAGACGAGATGGCTGCAGGATGGAGCAGAGAAGCATGCATTGCTGCGGTCGAAAAGGAGAGCGCCGGATCTATGACGGGCTCAAGGACCGGAGCATCTTCCATACCCAACCACCACCTCGGTGTCAACGGTACTGCTCGCCCTCTGGGTTCTGTGAATGGAAAAGAGTCAACGGCAACGGTAAACGGTACCACAACGCCAACTTACGGTCTTATGGGCGGATTAGGAAGCCTCACTCAAGTCCGACGAGCGAGCGCCACCGGCTCTCCTGCAAGGGTTCCGACTACCTCGAGCAGAGAATCAACAGTCAGAGTCACTGATTTGAAGCGAGCTCTATCCGGCTATGGCGTTACTGGAAGGCGACAGAGCCCGCTACGGAGACCACAGACAAGTTCTCGGAGAAGTGCAGGGAGCAGCGGAAGTAGCAGCATGCTTAGTTGGGATGATGCCGACGACCGTAACCCGTCCTTCCTCGACGTAGCGGCCACTGGCAACCCAACCGAACAGAGTCTAGAGAGCAGTCCACCCAGGCCGCAGACGTCCTCCAGCACCGCACAAACGAGAGACTCCACGTACCATGATCAAACAACCCTGCCGAATGTCACAGTAGATCCTCGTACGGATGCGGATGTTCCGCCAGTACCAAAGATCCCGTCAACGCTCAATCCTCCTGGTACATGGCCCCGCGATGCTTCACCAGCGCGACCCGCGGACGCTGCAGCGGATGCCCCTGTCGCGGGCGTCCCTGAAAGTCCCCAGTCACGAAAACCCACAGGCAAGGTGTATTCGCAGTCGCCAGGGCGAGAAAAGCAAAGTATGCGAAAGACATCACGGCCAACAAGCCGTAAGGGTGCGACACCACTCTCTTCATCCCCGAACGAAAAGTTCGATTTGGGATCACTGTTGGCTGCCATTCCCGTTCCGGTCGCAGAGGCAGTAGGGGACATGCAGAAGGAAACCCGACCCGGCAGGCTCATCCGGCCGCCTTATTGATGGATGGTAATGATGAGAGAAACCCTGGATTGTATATTACTTGGGCCATGTCTTTCCTAGCCAGGTGTTAGAGATAAGCCTTCCTTGTTTGTATCGTGTTTGGGTGTTTCTTCCAGGTTAGACTCGCCTGGCGTTTCTGCGAGATACTGTCTCTATGGCCAAAATGCAATATTTTGTCTTCTACAAGATATAGACCCAAGAGAGGCGGGATCAGTCCATTCACTTGTTATGTACTCGGAATATATGAGGTACAGACTACGTATATATGCGAATGCCTGGGATTCGAATGACGATATACGTGTCATTTGAAATGTGGAAACTCGGACTATTTCTCCTTCACTTCATGTTCATTGTATATTTGCCATCTTGAACACAAGTGAATGTTTAAAATGGTCCCAAAGTATAAAGCCATATTCCTAATCACCGATGACTATTCAAGATCGATTACCCTTTTTTCCACCGGTTGAAGAGAATATCCAATAATGGCGGATACGATGACTTCAACACTGGTCGAACCAGTTCGAGCCTCCATGCTGATCGATCTGGAGGGAGCTAGTACCCATCCAAAGGACTTGAGGCCGCAGGAAAGTCCACGCGCAAGCGAAGTAATGGGCATCCGGATTGAAGGCCTTGACAGGTCATTTACCGCGGTCTGGCTGGGTGGGAGAGTCATTGGAATTGGGTCGGCTGAAGTGCAGGATGGTAAATCTCCAAGAAGTAAGGTGAGTGATAGCTGGCCCATGCTCCAAGATGGGCTACTGGAAGCTCAGGCGAAGCGTAACTGATCGTTTTGTGAGATATCAGAGATCTTTCGTCCTCCAAACGCTTGCTGCAGCACTCCTCCAGCCTCGACTCCAATCCCAAGCCAGTTCAAGTGTGCTGCCAAATGTGTACCTTGTGACTCCCCACACTTCTCAAACCATTCCGATGCTCCATGTTCTTCTGACAAAGACCATCTCTGATTCCTCGGCTGCGCTCGAGCTTCTCAAAACTGTCCGACTGTTACAGTATTTTGACCTCGCGGGACTGGCAGAAAGCTTAGCGGAGATCAGCCAGGAGCTGTTTCAGAGGACTCATGCAACCAATATGTCAATCAATCCAGAAGCTGGCAAACGTACTCCACTCAAAGATATCGTCTTGATCCAGGGTTTAGGACAGACGATGTCAGCCACGCATCGTCGGAGTGGTCTTGTTCAGAGCAATGCGTTGCTTGGAAATCTGACAAGGAACATTACACAGATTTCACGAATATCAAGAGACGTCCTTGTTCTTGTAGAAGTTCCTCTCGAGATCGGGACAGTCCGCGACACCCAGTTGTATCAAGAAACAGCAAAGGCCCGGAGAGTCCAAGCAGCTATCGAAATGAAGTCTGCCTTTGCTGGAACCCATGGTGAGGCGTTGAGGCTCTGCTCGGGGCATGAGTCACTGGCAAGGACTCTGGAGGCGGCCCTAGATTGTATCGTTGTGGTACATGACGGGTTCGGACGAGTCAAAGAGGTGGGAAGACCTAACGAACGCGAAGAGCATGTGGTTGAGGTCGTCAAGGATCGAGTTGGTGACTTGATGGGTCTTTGGGGCATTTGGAAAGGAGGATGATGGTGTTGGGAAAGCATTTCTGAGGCATGAGATGCGCCTTCCAGCCAGTTCAGAAAACAGTCCCTGTCGATGGATGTCGCCTTTCTTCGGATCTTCTACCACCTTGGACTCTCTTACGACCAACTCTTCCCCCATGACCGGGCTGCTCGGATATCGTACACGAATATTTTAACAATGGACATCGGTAGCAGTTATCTCAGCGTTATTGCACGGTCCGGAGTGCCGGTCATGCACGCTGCTGTTTTACCTCCTTCGGGCAAAGTATTGTTCCTGGACAAAGTCGAAGATTACTCCGAGCTGCGCTTGCCGAACAATCGATGGGCCTATTCCGCGCTCTACGATCCAGATACGCATCACCTTAGTCCGCTGTCAGTCGCGACAAACCCCTTTTGCTGTGGTGGGAGCTTTTTGTCAGATGGACGGCTTGTCACAGTCGGCGGGAACGCCCCATTGCTCTGGCTAGACCCGACAGTTGGGGACGGCTTCGATGCAATTCGGTACATTGGAGATGAAGGTGGCAACTATTCATGGAAAGAGCCTGGAAATAAATTGGCCTCCAACAGATGGTATGCAACCGCACAGACCCTGGCAGATGGCAAGATCTTCGTGGCAGCAGGAAGTTTAAACGGACAAAATCAGTTCAACTTCAGCAACAATAACCCAACCTACGAAATTCTCGATGTAAACGGTGTCAGTCAAGGCGAAAACATTCCAATGAACATTTTGGTCAGGACTATGCCGTACTAGATGTACCCCTTTCTGCACCTGATGCCCGATGGTTCGCTCTTCATTTTTGCAGACACTTGCTCGGAGCTGTTTGACGTGGCCAAAAATGAGACCATCAGGACAATGCCTGACTTGCCTGGAATGCACAGAACCTATCCCAACACAGGGGGTAGCGTCATGTTACCCCTACGTGCAGAGAATAACTATAAGCCTGAGATCATGATTTGTGGCGGAGGACAAACACAAGCAATCAACAGTCCTTGCGAGGCAACCTGTGGAAGGCTGAAACCGATGGGTAAGCGTCCTCTGTGGGAGATGTCTACGATGCCAGGCCCCCGAGGAATGGTGGAGGGGGTTTTACTTCTCGATGGTACCGTGCTCTGGATCAACGGCTGTCATAAAGGTGCGCAAGGTTTTGGACTGGCCACGTACCCGGCATTGGAAGCTCTAGTCTATGATCCGAAATGGAATAACTGGACCGTGTCTGGGAGAACGACAATTGCCAGGCTTTATCACTCTGTCGCCTTCCTACTTCTGGATGGAACAGTGCTCATTGCCGGAAGCAATCCCAACGAAATGCCAGTAACCCAACAGCATGTTGACATCCATAATCAATACAAGGCATTCCCCACCGAGTTCAGGATGGAGACATGGATTCCCCCATACCTTCGTGATGACAAGGCGTCGCGGAGACCTACGGTGATGGGCCTCTCGACATATATCTTGAGACGTGGTAAAAGAGTGACCATCGAGTTCAGCACTGTAGAGCAGGTCAAGACGCTAGACATTGTCCTATACAGCGGGGGATTTATTACGCACTCAGTCCACATGGGCCAGGTGATGGTATACCTTGAGAACAACGGCTGGGAGACGCTGAGCAATGGTCGAAAAAGGGTCGTAGCGTGTATGCCCGAACAGGTCAAACTGGCTCCTGGACCCTACGTGGTTTATCTGCTGGCCAATGGCATTCCCGCAGTTGGGAAATTTGTTACTGTGCGCGTCTGACGCGGAAACTCATTGTTTTGGTTCAGTGCTTGATTAAGTAGGGCTTAAGAGGGTCTAGGATAGACGACGTTGAGAATGGAATACCGCAATACTTCACTGTCGGACATATTTGGGATTTTCGAGTATTGCTTCACCGTAGCGGCGTTACGTTCAAGTTTGCGGCAAAAACCGCAGTCCCAACCATGAGGGGCTTGGTAAGTGGTCGAATAAACCAAGAAACTTACAACTCGAACATCCCATTCTCTACAAGAACTCTGCATGGCAGACGACCCTTCAAAAGCCCAGCCGCTGGGCTCGGCGCCAGCGACCATTCCTGCTGTTGACGGAAGCGCAGATGAACCACCCAACACGACGCCAGAAAGAGGAGGCGGTCCAGTCTGGAACCCGACGGCGCAACCTGCACCTACACAACCCGCTCAACCTCTACAAGACCACGAAGGCGACTTGGTCATGACCTCGCCGGAATCGAGTCTCCCAAATCCTCCCATCACCGCTACCACAGCCAGCAGCAACGAGCGCGGGCCTGGACCCGTACCACTCGACTCACCACTGCGCACAACGCCGATCCATCCCGCTGTGGAAGCGATCAAAGTCCCCGCGACGGCGGTGACGAGCGACGCGCCCAACACGAACCCGATCACGCTACAGCCCTTTACCGAGGCGGAATTGGTACAGTACGGCTTCGAGCAGCTCAGGGCGCAGATTTTCGCCGCTCACGGAGTCGGTGTTGGTGACGGCGACCGCGGCGCAGGCGGCGCAGGCGGAAATCTTCTCGTTCTCGGCGAAAAAGAAAAACAAGAAATCGCCCGCATCCGCGAGGAGACGGCGGCGCTGTTGAAGCAGAAACTCGACGAGCGCGAGGCCCGGGTGCGCGAGATTGAGCGCGAGATGGAGGACAAGGAGAAGATCCGCGAGGTTGAGAGGAAGGTGTTTCGCAAGAAATTGGCGGCGGGCGGCGGGGAGGGTGGTGTTGCCAGCGTGAAATGATCATCATTGCAACATCAATGGCAACAATGATAATGTCGCTTTCTGTCGAGGATTGCACATATGGGCAAGGTCATCTTGGAGAAGGCGAGGAGGGGGGTTGATGGGTCTCGATGCTCGGACAAGTCAGGGAAATGCTCTGGGACAATAACATTGAAAACTGGTCGCAACAAGGGAAAAAGAACACCCAAGCACAGGATACGATCCCATGGATGATGCTCTACCACGCTCAAAGTCTATGAGGATTCATCAAACCAAGCCTGTCCCCTCACAAGTCCGCGATCTATCTACTCGAAAATCCATCCTTGAAACAGACGTCTTTGCTCGTGCCCTCACCACACCAGGCAACACAACGGGAACCAAGAATCCCCGCCAACAAACACCCAAAGAGACCAGCGTGAATGAGGAAATCACTTTTGTGTGCCAGCCACCCCACGACGCCAACTGGCAAACACCTTCCACACTCGTCCCCCCTCCTCAGCCTCAACCACATAGCGTCAACTTCAAGTCGACGGCCTCCCCACAGTCATGCTGCTGGCCCCAGTCGTTGTGCACAATGTACGAGGCCGTACAATACTCCTCTTCAGGCGCGCAGTGCAGTGGCACGCAGTTGCCTTCGACGACCTCCGGCGCCAACGTCATGCCCACGGCTTTGAAGGCGTGCTTGATGGCGACCTTGCCGACGTAGGCGCCCAGTCCACCCTCATTGCCAACTATGGTTTCCCACCTGTGGGTCACGCGGTTGAGCCACCCGGCGCTTCCGGCGTTGATCATGCTCAGATCGTACCAGGTTCGCTGGAACGCGTTGTGCCAGATTCCACTCGAACTGGACCGGCGATGTGTTCTCGACGTCGGTGCGCCGCAGTTTCCAGCTCACGCCCAAGCGCGGGTCGTGGGCGAAGGGGTGCGACAGCATCTCCTGGCGCTGGAGGATGGAGTAGATCTCCTCCGGAGGTCCCTCGACGCCGGGACGGGGTCCGTGCACACTGTTGCTGTGCACGGCGAAGGTGCAATTGCTCTACACGACGGATTGGCCCAAGTAGCCGTCGCCGCGATCGCTTTCCTCTACTGGCCCTTTGTCAATTGGTTCGGTGACCCCTGGTGTGGTGGCGTCGTCTTGGTCGGGTTCTGGCTGCCTGACGCGAACGCCAGACGAAGGGGTTGACAGCCACACCATTGATGCGGGTTAGCATCGCCGAGACAAGCAATGTCATGACGACCCACTGGAGGATCGTCGCGGTTGCGACCGAGGAGAACCGCATGTCTGGGATTGAGACTGGTGGTTGTTCAAAAGATATTGACTATTTCGCACAAGATCGTTCGAGTTATTCAGTTCCTGACTGGCTTCTGGCTGTTCCATCAGTGCCGATCTCCTTAAATTATTGGGGTGGTACAGACGACGGAGACTGAATGGCCTATTTATAGGTGCCGGATCTCTTCGAAGCGACACTGGATACATCTCGCTGCCGACAGAACCCATTGTGGTCGATGATTAGCCTTATTATCGTCCGCCATGTTTCTGTTGTTCACTTAGACTGAACGGCCGGTCTATGGGTGCCGGATCTCTTTGAAGCGCGACTGGATAGATTTGGTTATTTCCAGAAGCCATTGTGGTCGATGATTAGCCTTGTTGTCGTCCGCCATGTTTCTGTTGTTCACTTACAGGCGTGCAACAAGCTCACAACAGTGCCTGCCAATGCAATGTGGGATCCGATGCTGGCGGGCGTGCTCCAGAAGGGCATAGAAGAATACTGGGTGATTTGCGTGCACATGGATCGCCGTGGTCAAGAGTGAGTGTTGGGAAGGGTGAGCGAGCGGGTGTGTGTGTAATGTTGCCAGTCATACAAGGGAGCCACCGCATGGATGTCTTTGACAGGGAGAGGGAGAGGGAGAGGCTAAACGGGACTTGCTTTTTTCTGAGATGGATGTTGACGAGTGAATGCAGACTAGAAAGTATCCGATTCTTCGAAGATTCTTTTTTCTCTACAAGATCACAGAATGTAGGATGCAGGATGCAGGATACTTGCCTCTTCTTATAGCTCTGTGGGTCTACAGTCTCAATACATTGGCATGGACATTCTCATCCTCATTGATTTGATTTGCGTTGTGTCGTGTCATGTCATATTGAATTGTTTTGTTTTTTTGGTTGTGTTGCCTGTACGGTTTTGTTTTTTCGTGATCTGCATTGGACCCGTCCATTCTGGTTGTCATTGCGTATTGCGTGACCAGCCATTTCCTGTGGTTTGGATCTCTCTCCCTTCGCTCACTCGCCCCCTCGCGATTTATTTTACGCTGGGAAACCGGGAGATAGCTCACGTGCGAGAGAGGAAGAGAGAGAGAGGTGTGGAGAAGGAACGTTGGCCATTTTTTTCCCCCTCGACGGCCCCATTCTATCCCATCCCATTCTCTCTTGGGAAATAGTTTTTCGTCTACATACCAAGCAATACTCGGTTCATACAACGATACCCGTAGAAAACCCAGGTTCCATCTATTCTCGATTAGGGGGAAAGAAAAAAAAGTATTGAAACCGGGTCGGAATGGAAGCTTGTCTGTGTCAAGACTCGACAAGACCCAAACAAGAATAAAACACTCCCGAAAAAAGGGAGCGCGAGGCTGTGGAGAAATAGGGGGGGGGAGTAACCCTCTACAAGCAAGCAACGCGGCCAGGAGATCAACAACACATGTTTCTACCCGAGTAAGAATTTACTTTACAGTGTGGATGTCATTTTACGCGTACGAGTTACCATTCATCGCCGTAAATGAAAGGGGAAAAAAAGGCAATTGTCTCAACATCTATTTGAGTATTTGGGTCGTTGGTATGCAGAGATTTCTAGTGGAGTTTTTTTACCATCCTTACACCCACACAGGTACCTTTGTACCATGCCTTGGAATCTTTTCTGTAATGCAATGAAAACGAAAATAAAAAAAAAGAAAACAATCAACGTTTTCTACAATAGCACCTAGTGTATGAAAAAATACTGCATGCGTACGGAGTACATTCCTACATACCTAGCTCGCTAGCTGGTCACTGCCGGTCAACCGGTCCGGATGGGCACGTGGGGCGCTACTCAGAAACCTTTTGCCTGTCAATTATACAATACTCGGTACAGAGCAAATGGGTCCATCGAAAGGAATTGCCGCCATTTCAAGGGTATCATTGTCGTATGTAAGGGTTGCGCATTCAAATAAACAGATTATATGCTGCTGGACATCCGGTATAAATGGGAACCAAATAATCCCCTTCCACTTGCACAATCCCCGTCTCTGCAGACTGCTTCATCATACTGCCCAAGACCATTTGCCATACACATTGCACAGCACTCATGTACGCAGATCTTACCCGCTTAGACCACATGAGGAGTCGCGTTTCTGTCTCGAAGGTCACCATTCTTCTCCTCCTGCTCAACTGCCGAGCTGGAGCTGTCCACTTCTCCATCCTGGATCTCTGCCTCAATGATCGGACCGTGGTAGAATCTCTTGCCGCGGAGCAGCCAGTAGACTATGGCACAAACCAGGATAAAGACCAAGAAGACAACAGCGTAGTTCATGTTGTCCGGCGTCACTGGTCGGATGGTTGGCATGACGAAGATGATGGTAACAAACGTCGTCCAGACACACGCCCAAACGTTCACAGCAAACGAGAATTTGCCCAGATGCCACGGCCCAGGCTCAAACTTGCCAAAGATGAGCTTGCACATAATGGGAATGACGTAGGACCAGTCGAGAGCGATGGCGCACACGTTGAAGACGCCCGCAATCGCAATGTACGACCCCAACGCAATCAGGTTGATGGCAATGCACCAGAAGATGCTGATCCAGACGGCGTAGAGTGGTGTTCCGGTCCATCGGTTGATGATAGTCCAAGCACCGGAGAAAGGAATCAACCGATCGCGGGAAAAGGCAAACACGGTCCGAGCCAACGCCTGCGTGGCTGTCCAGCAGACAAACTGGAGAATGAGGAAGGCCGAAACGGTGAAGAAGATGCTGGCGCCCTTGCCCAAGGAATTGTAGAAAATCTGAGCGACGGGTTGAAAGATTGGAGAGGCGAGGACTTCAACCGCGTCCCCCATGCAGAAGCAGAGAACAATGTTGAACAGAAATCCCAGAACGTAGGTGCACAGCATGGCGAGGGAGATAGCCCACGGGGCTTTGATCTCAGGTTCGTTGATTCTGCAAATGTTAGCATAACAATTCGTGAACCAAAAGGGCGAGCACTACTCACTCCTCGGTAATGTGGGCTGTGGCATCATAGTCCGTCATGGTCCATGAGACCGATAGGAAACCGAACAAAAAGGACCATCCGATGGGTGTCCAACCAGCGTTTCCCTCCACATGAGTGAAAACGTAGCTTGCGTCATGCTTGTTGTCCGTCACGGCCAGGAGGGCAATCGCACAGGCAATCAGCACCCCAAAGTGGTAGATGACATAGGTCTTGGTCATTTTCTCCATCCAATAGGTTGAGAGAGAGTTGACTAGGCCACAGAGCACGGTCAACGCCGCCATGACTCCGACTGTCTCGTTGGTGGTGGGGAACCATTGAAAGTCGCGACCGATGGAAACTGCAGCTAAAAGCAGTTGAGCCGAGCCATACTCCGATGAGGCAATCCCGGCGACCTGTCCCAGCAGATTGATCCAGCCGACAACCCAACTGATGGACGGCACCCATGGCTTCGGAGCCAGTCGAGAAACAGTATAGTACAGACCACCACAGGTTGGGTACGCAGAGACCAGTTCGGCCACGGAAAAGGCAATGCACAAGCATCCCGCACCCGAGATCAGCCAACACCACACGACTGAAGCAGAGCCACCAGCTTCGAGCGGGAAGACGAACGTGGTAGCGGTGGTCGCAAATAGACCAGAAATACTGACGGCGAAGGAAAAGGTCGAGAGGTAGCCAAATTCGCGCTTAAAGACCTGTGCGGTGGTTAGAACAGCCTCGCTCCTTGTTACTCAACGTCGGTAATCCGCATTCCACATACCGGCTTGTACCCGAACTGCTCGGCGAGAGCTCTGTCGGCGGCGCTCAGCTCGTCCAACTGCACCGTCCTGCGCCGACCTTGAGCGTCTTGAATCTCGACTGTGCCGACGCTGTGTCTGCGCAAATCGCCATCGTCAATGGGCCCTACGTTTACTTCTTTGTTGGCCATGGTTGTAACGTGAGATATCCAACTTCTCTTCTTTGTTCGGACCTCGCTGGGGAGAATCGGGGATACTGCTATTTGTAGAGCAGAGGAGGATTTGGTGTATGTTTGCAACAACTGATTTCAGCTCAACGCCACTTGCGGTAACGAACAATCCGTTTGACACAGAGGCAGTAAGAGGTCACTCTTTCGTCCACATCGGAAATCGGTGGCATGTGCCGTTCGTTAGTGATACGGTAGGAAGGAGTGACAGTCGGAGCAGAACGTTTAACTAAGAGCTGCAATGAGTCGCTGAACTTCGCAGCGGACAGTTTGGCACGGCTTATGGAGGTCAAGACAAAGAGAGTAAGAAACAAGAGAAAACAAGAAAGAGATGCAAAGAAGGCTAGCTTTCCCCGATGCCGAGAGTGCTGGTGAGGCTTGATCTGCGTATGGTAGCATTGGTCCAAGGATAAGGACTCTCGGCGATGGTGGCGGGGATTCTGATGAGGTAGCCATGATGCCAACTGGACCCGCTGGTGGGTGGAGGAGAAAGAATCTTCGATAGAGGTCCCGGGGGGGTGAGAATGGTTCGATTGGGCAGAAGCGACAGAACGAAGTTTGTCAAAAGAATGGCGTGGGTTGTGAGTGGACGAAAGAGACGAGGATGGGATTGTCCAGCCCGCCACGAGCAGATGTCACTCTCCTCGTGTCTCCTCGAACTTGTACGCAACGAGGTAGTAGAAGCTGCAAGCCTGCAGGGAGCGACAACTTTGAGCAGGGAGGAGCCGGGCTCTGCATATGCTTTGCATGGTTTTTGCTTTTTTAGGGGTGGAGAATGGGTGAAGGAGCTTCAGGCCATGACAATCATCGGGATCCATCATGCGGGCTACTTCGGTTGAGGCTTGAATTAACGTGCGTTGCGGACCAGCTAAAATCCTTCGATTAGGACAGGCCTGGAGTACGAGGAGGTCGGCGTGGAGATGTCTTCCAGGCACCATTGTAGGCAGCTGATTCGATAGAGACGCCTATTCGTACTCGTAGC